TTGGATGAGCGGGCTATTCCGTATAGTCCATCACTTATTAGGGGGCAAGACGCTCATCTGAGTATGATGAGACTTGCCGGCAGGTTGTTTACTCACGGCTATGAATTAGACTGGAAAGCCATTAACTCCAATCCCAACAGAAGTCGTATTTTGTTTCAGGGTTTGCCTCCATATCCCTGGGATTATTCGGCCGGCCTACAATGGTTTGAGCCTCGTACGAGTAATGAGCTACGCAACCGCCCTTTCATTCGACACGAGCTTCTTGGCTCACAGCAACTTGCCGGGAACGGCATCGATTGGAGCTGGAGAAATGTCCTGCGCCCGAACGAGATGCCGTGGATTCGCGACCATAGGATTGAAGACCAAGTGGTCTTCCCAGCTACAGGTTATTTTGCTTTAGCCATGGAAGCAGTAACCAGGGCTAGAGCGGCAAGTGGAAGTCCCTTGCTTGAGCGTCCAACGTTTGATCTATATAATGTCAGCATCAATTCTGCTATGGTGGTACCTGAGGAGAGTGACTTGGAGCAAGTGCCTGTAGAGATACACACTACCCTTAATACACGGAGGATATCCTCGAAGACCTCCTCGGCGAACATATACGATTTCACAGTATCTTCCTGGACTGCTGGCCAGGCTACCGTCCACTGCGTGGGAAGTATTAGAGTATCCGACGCACTGCCTGAAGCTGCAGTAGGAGTCAACGGAGTCTCAGGCCGAAGCGGGTATAGAGATTGGAATATGGACCGATGGTACGAGAAATACGCAGAAGAAGGGATGTTATTTGGGCCGTATTTTCGAAACCTGATCGGCGTGCGAGCTGACAGCAATCAAGCACGTCCCGATGTTTTATGCACTGCCAAAATCTGTTCGCCGATGCTTAGGGACTCGGCCAACCGTTATCCTGTGCATCCTGTAACAATTGATGCCTGCCTACAAGCTGCTCTTATTAGTGCTACATCTGGAAATCCTGAATATTTCCGAGCCTATGTACCAGTGTTCATCTCGGAGTGTCGTATCAGGACATTGGCACTCCCGGATGACGATAAAGAACAGAAAGGGGTTATTCATGCAACGTCCCAACGAACTGGGTTCTCCAGCCTAAGAGCAGATTCTACCCTACAAGATGGCCAAGGGATTCCCCTGGTTCAGATGAAAGGTGTCCGATTGACCCTGTACACTGGGAAAGTGACTAAAGACGAGAGCTATAGTAGTCCCCATCTACAACGGCACCCGGTGATGAGCGTAAACTGGAAGCCAGACATCATGCGGCTTACGCCGGACACAGTGCCTCAACTACAGGATTATATTACGCGTTTTATTCGAGATCGGCCCTCATTATCGGAAGATGACGAGTGTAAGGGTATCATCAGCGCAATACTGGACTTGGCCGGCCATAAAAACCCTCGAATGCGAGTTTTGGAGATCGGAGAATCAAATGATAGTACGAAGAACGAGTGGCTAGAGTTATTAGCTAACGGAACCGCGTTCCCCCGATATAGGTCATGGCTGTCAACTAAGCCAAGTGATGAAGGTAAAATTTTGGTAGATACCAATAAAACCGGGTTCGATATTATGATTCATAGTGTAAGTAACAGGACATGGCGTTTAACTGATCGGGGCCGCTCATAATTCTTCAGGACAATGCATCTCAAGGGCTCTGGAAACACTCGCCAAACCACCTTGTGTCGCTCGTCAATGACCATGGGATCATAATTGTCCGTAAATCGGATACTGTCCTAGCGGAATTAATAGCAGCAAGTTTTCAGGTAATAGATATCGAAGATCGCGTTACCGTAGCATTGCGTAGAAAAGAGCAAAAGGCTCTAGACGGACGGAGCGTTCTCATCGTCGTACGTATATGTGAGAAGCAAACTAACCTTCTATTCAACTAACACATGTATTAATATAATAGACTCGGGAGGCATCTCCGTCGCTACAAGGCTTCATTGCCGATCTGACGGAACACTTGGAGCAGACGCACGGGACTCGTGAGATTCGCACCATCTCTCTAGCTCAACTCCCAACGACAGAGATCTCCGGTGACACAGTGTGTATCTCGCTGATAGAAATAGAACGGCCATTCCTGGCCGAATTAAGCCAGGGGGATCTAGAGCTTCTCCACAGCCTGATGAGCGCCGTGAAAGACCTCGTCTGGTTAGTCGGAGCGAACCTGACGGGTGTTCCTAACCCCGATCTTGCATTGGTACAAGGGCTATCTCATTCGATCATGGTAGAGCAGCCATCTTTTCGGTTTACGGTGATCGACGTTAGCTCCGTTGAGGTCCTATTGTCTGACTCGCAGAGTTCTTGCCGAAGTGTTGTCCGCGTGTTAGAACGCCACGAGAAAATCGACGACAGAGAATTCGTTCTTTCGAATGGCCTGCTTTACGTTAGCCGCATAGAACCTAATACCGCTATTAATTCAGTGTTTCAAAGTCGGACTCAGAAGACACGCACATCCATGAAACAATTGACACTTTCCCAAGCAACCCCAGCCAAGCTGTGTATAGACAAAATTGGCATCATGGATTCCTTATATTTTCAACAGAGTTGTGATCCGCACACGACCCCGCCCAAAGGCTTCATCGATGTCGAAGTCAAAGCGGTCAGTCTAAACGCAAAGGATGTCTATGCAATGAATGGGCGTGTCGAAACCAGGACCGGTACGTCAGCTATCGAGTTTGGCGGTCTAGTCACAGCAGTAGGCCCGGACGAGTGCAACTTCAAAGTAGGAGACCGAGTGATTGTGTTCAAACCTAATCATTTCTCGACGATTGAAAGGGTCCCCTCTTGGACCTGTTGTAAGCTGCTGGCGTGCGAGGATTTGGCGGTGATGACAACACTACCAACTGTATACTGCGCCGCCCTGTACGCTATTCGTGACTGTGCGCGGGTACGCTCCGGAGAATCGGTCCTTATTCATTCAGGGGCCGGCGCTTTTGGTATCGCTGCAATAAGTCTAGCACAGCGAGCTGGTGCGGTTATATATACTACTGTTGGCTCGGAGAAGAAACGAGAGTTTTTAGTCAACAATCTCGGCCTGTCTGCTGACCATATTTTTAGTTCCCGGGACGAGTCATTCGAGGCTAGATTGAACGCTGCGACTGGAGGCAGAGGAGTCGATGTTGTTATCAATTCTCTGGTTGGAGATTTGATGCATGCTAGCTGGCGATGCCTGGCTCATTTTGGCCGCTTCGTAGAAGTGGGCAAGCGTGAACTAATTGACGACGGCAGGTTGGAGATGGACATCTTTTCCCGCAACACGACCTTTACCGCTTTCGATCTCAGTGAGATGTTCTTCCTGGAGGGAGAACACTATCAAGATATACTGGCCGGGTAAGTCAGCATGTCTCTCCTTTTCGGTGATATCCTACTAATTGCCATGGTTCCGTGTGCAGTTTGGTCAAGGACATCCTTGAGCTATATCGCTCAAAGCAGATTCAGCCTGTACCCATCACAACTTTCGACGTATCGAACGTTGCCCAGGCATATCGCTATTTCTCGTCTAGAGATAGAATAGGGAAGATCGTCATTTCTCTTGATAATCCAAACAGCCTTTTAACTGTGAGTTCGGCCTCTTGTCGGCCCATTATTGGTGTCAATAATGCTGACTACATGCCTCCCAGGTTGCACCTCCAAAATACATCACAATACTTGATTCCACGAAGGTGTATCTTCTTATCGGCGCTCTTGGGGGCTTAGGGAGAAGTTTAGTCCGCTGGATGATGTCACGGGGTGCGCGGAAATTTGTCTTCCTCCAGAGATCAGGCTGTGATAAGTCGAGCGCCCGGGAGTTTGTAGACTGGCTGAGGCAAGAAGGAGCATACGCTGTGGTGGTTAAGGGCGATGTCACAAAGTTGGACGACGTGGTGGCAGGCATAGCGGCCTGCAAAGACCTTGGGGGGCCGATCGGCGGTGTATTGCAAGCTGCAATGGGTCTTCATGAAGATATTTTCAGTGCGATGACGAGTGAGGCTTGGCATGAGAGCGTAAGGCCTAAATGGGCGGGTACGTGGAATCTTCATACCGCACTTGAAGGACACGACGAAGCTCTCGACTTTTTCCTCATGACTTCTTCCATGAATGGGACTACCGGATTGCCGACGGAAAGCAATTATTCGGCAGCAAATGCTTTTCTTGACAGTTTTGCACACTGGCGGAGGAGCCAAGGCAAACCAGCCGTATCACTCGCGCTAGGAATGGTGTCTGACGTTGGCTATCTTCACGAGAATCCCAAAATTGAAGAATTGCTACTGCGGAGAGGGACCCAGCCTCTAAGCGAGAACGACGTTCTTCTGCTTGCCGATATCGCGATCGGGGGGGTCAGCAGTCACTGCGGGCTAGGACAGCGACAAGCAGATGTTGCACCAGCTCATATACTCACTGGCTTGGAGACAGCGAATCTTCGAAAAATAATGAATCAAGGATTCGAAGTATCTAATTCAACCCTAGATGATCCTCGATTGTCTATCCTAGCAGCTTCACTGGAGTTTGCTCACAATCCTACGGGCTCGAACGAAAATCGAAATTCGGAAGGCGACCAGCAGATCATGAGTACTCCATGGATGAGGGGTCTACCTCGGGAGGTTATTGATATTCTTAAACCGGAACTTACTGGGGCCTCGTCTTTGAAGGGATTAATATTGCGAGTCTTAACCAAGAGATTCTCAGACTTGCTACTTACCCCGAGAGACCAGATTGACCCCGACAGGTCGTTTGCGCAATTTGGGTTAGACAGCATGATCGCGTCGGAGTTTAGATCCTGGCTTTGGAATTCGTTCAAAGTAGACGTACCGTTTTTGGACCTTTTGGGTTCTCGCAAGTCTTTGGATACCGTAGCAGCACTTGTGGAAGCAGATTTACTATCACGGACTGTAGGGTGTGAAGTAAAGTCCTAGGTTTAGAAATGTAATTACAAACGGGAAAACGGCTTTCAGCAGTCAGCTGACTTGCTGACACATATAATCCCTGTCTGTGGAACCCACATGCAGGGCAGACGGATCAGACAATCTTATCTGATTGATAATTTGGCTTGGCATTATCCCGGGCCAATTAAAGGTTCACTACATCATGTACTGTGTATAATCAACAATGCCTACCAACAGCCCGTATCCCAGGCTTATCTTACTGCCTTTGGTCCATCTCTTCAGGGATTTATAGTCGTGATACTGTTAATGTTAGGTACCTGGCTTAAGAACCTATTATAAGATGACTCAACGAGCGACCGCCGTATCCAGGCCTGTCCGTCTGCCTGCCTGCCTGCCTTCGGTGTCGGCTTCGGCTTCGGCTAGCCGATCTACTTCTTCTTAAATATACCTCCTGTCTGCCCCAAACCGCCTCTTCAATTCTTCCTTATCATGTCTTCTTTAGCAATTGCTCCTATTCTAAGTTTCTTACCAAACTACTGTCATAAGTCCGGTCATGGCGACGCCAAAGAACCAAGATGATATTTCAGCGGCGCCCGATCCCGTTACAGTAGAATTAGCCAATATTCCAACACCGACTACTACGACCGTCAAGAAAGACTCTGATCCCTTCCTTGTCGCCTTTGACCAACCCTACGATGCCGAGAACCCGATAGACTGGCCAACAGGCCGTAAATGGATGGTGACCGACGTCTTGTCCGCTACAGGCTTTAACCGTATCATGGTCTCGACAATTATGGCCCCGGCATTATCAACTATCGCTAACGAGCTCAACATGAGCTCAGCCGAGTCGGCCATGTCCCTTTCTATATACCTCTTAGCCACCGTCTTTGGTCCGCCCCTTATTGGACCGTTGTCGGAAATATACGGTAGAACAGTTGTTCTACATAGTTCCAACGTCTGGTTCCTCGTTTGGAATATTGTTTGTGGGTTTGCCCCTACGAAGGGCACGCTTATTGCAGCTCGCTTCCTAGCAGGTTTTGGTGCCAGCGCCATATATTCTCTTGCTGGAGGTGTTCTTGGGGATGTGTGGAGACCAGAACAGCGAGGCAGCTCGCTAGGAGTCTACTTAATTATTCCCTTGCTTGGTGCAGCAGTTGGTAAGTTCTCCGCACAAGATCTGATACTGTTTGAATAGGATCAATCCCCTCTATAATTGCGTGATTACACTAGACCGACCAACGTATCTAATCGGTATCTCAGGTCCTATAATTGGTGGTTTTATGGCTGCGCGAACAACTTGGCGGTGGATGTTTTGGGCTACCTCTGCATTCCAAGCCGTCATGATATTGGTGTCTTATTTTAGTTTCCACGAGTCGTACGGACCACTAATACTCCAACGGCGTGCCCAGCGCCTTTGTAAGGAAACTGGGGAAAGCCGATATCATACCCGGGGCGAAACAATTGATGGGAATAGGTCGGCCGTCACCATTCTAATGCGAGCTCTATCGCGACCGGTTCGTCTCTTGCTCTTCCATCCCATCATCCAAGTTTCAGCCGTTCTATCAGGATTTAACTACGGAATCTTGTATGTCGTCCTCTCTACATTTTCTGCTCTTTTTACGTCCCAATACGGCCAGTCAGTCGAAATTAGTGGACTACACTACATTGCTTGCTCTCTTGGTGAGTTGGCTGCCTCACAGGTCGGTGCGCCTTGGATGGACTACTTGTACAAGCGGCTACCGGCACATAAACAGAATCCAGAGTCTCGTATGCCGCTAATGTTCCCCTCAATAATTATCACATGGGTTGGTGCCTTAATGTATGGGTGGACGGCTGCGTATCGGCTACATTGGATCGTAGTTGATATTGGAGTATTCATCATGTTGTTCGGTATGCAACTAGGCGGCTTACCTAGTAAGTAGTATTCGAATATTTTGCTGATCGCTTTGATTTATAGCGAAATCCACTAACTTTACATTCTTCAGTAACGGCCTATGTTATCGACACGTATGGAGAACACACAAGTAGCGCCATGGCGGCACAGCAATTTCTTAAGAGCTTGATGGCTTTCCTATTCCCATTATTCGCCCCAAGCATGTACGTAGCACTTGGATACGGATGGGGTAATAGTGTACTGGCCTTGGGGGGCTTAGTAGTTTCAGTCCCTCTCCTGATATTTTTATGGAAGTATGGAGCAAGGTTGAGGGCCAAAGCAATTTCTACTAAGTAAGAAATATGGACAAGGGAAATTTACAGACTTTTGCCCTCTCACCCTATAATATTTCCTCGGAATTCTGTCCATGTTGGAGCCTACCTTAGTAGGGTGGCGATGGTCTAGGAAGAATTACTTAGGAATTCTCGGGATAAGATGCTTGCCTACACTCTCCTCACCACTAGGTCAGCTTATAACAAGTGACTTAAGGGTCAATACCGTACTTAGGTAGGCAAATAGGTTGATAACTGTTTCGAGAATAATATTAATTGAAATACCTTACTTTATCATACTTGAACGTTACGCTATGATACTAAGACTTAACAATACTTAAGTACTTAACTTACAGAGCTCATAGTACCCCAAAAATTTATTCATTTCAACACTTAGTTAAAGAGCATTATCATGATATCTCAGATAACAGGCTTTGCGTTAGCATAAGTAAGTGATAATCGGTAAGGGCAGTATAGAGCTACAATCTATCGAATTTTCTTTACGAAGACTTCACTATCATATATAAAGGAAATAGTAGCAGGTACGCCAATCGTAACTTATACTGCGGTCTACAAATTCCCCTAGTCGTCCTTTGGAACGTTAAAACAATTGCATGTCACGCTTATGACATAGCATACATGGTAAATGCTGCCTAATATCATCACGAATTACTATCTAAAGACTTTGTTTGAACTGCTACCAGACAATTCCATATTAACTCAAAGTCTTACTTCCAGTTAAGGGCCTAGGCGCTGTTCCCAATAATTATGTGCACCGCACTCATTGTAACGCAAGATGATTGAAAGATAGAATGATACGGCAATTGTTCTTAGAAATAATTAAATCATGAATATGGAGATCTATGAATTATTTAGGAACTATTTCACCAATAGCTGGACTAGATATAAGAGAACACGATACCTACGTGTTGTAACTACCAAAGTTATCAAAGCTGATATAGGGGTTCACTATGCTGTCATATTACTGCAGGTCTATCCATTTCAGGGGTAAACAGCAGTGTATAATCACTATACTAAGAACCATATCGGTTCTTTATTTGATGTATACGGCCCTAGATCCCTTTTTATTGTCTTCACCATATCCTCTTTAACGATTAGAGTCAAATAGAAAGAGATGTTAGGTCACAACAATCGATGACGGAGGGGTGAAAAGATGTGACTCTGGATATGGAAGAAGCGAATAGAAACCTCTCTACAAACACAAGACAAACGAGTATAGATTGCTGGGCAGAATGTTTTCCTATCCATGCCACCCCCTAAGCGTCAACAATCTTGGCATCTCAACATCGCCGTGGGCACAATCCTGAGTCATACCTTCCACAACCTGATCGCCATGGCGATTTAAGTTAATACCTGGGGATCTTTTCACTTTGCTCCTTCCCTAAAATCCACTTGCCACTTCTACAATCAATATTTAACCACACAAGCCATCACTTTCCCTAACTCTTTAAAATTCCATCCTTTCCTACCAAGCATAATAATCCTACCTACCTCCTACCTACCTCCTACCTACCTCCTACCTACCTAACCCTAACTTCCCTACCTCCCAACCCATGACAACTTCACTCATAACTCCTCATAATTACCTATCCTAAATCATCAAAATCTTCATTAATAACCCTCAGCATGTCTTTCAGTCACGTTGGCATTTAACTAAAAAGTGCCCCGCATGCTGGTCTTCAACCCTGACCGAGACAATAAATATTCCCCAATTTCTATCCTAAAAACACTCATAACCCTTAATCCACGGCGCAACAGATTTACTGCAACTCGAATGCCATCCCTATCAGCAAAACGGTTAAATCCTTCGAAAAAGATGTGGAAGAAGTCCACGATGACCTTCGCGGCTTACCTATTTCATACCTTGAACAGGAAGACGCCGTGATCCCTACTCCGGGAGCGCTCCTTCACGACTTATACTAATACGCGGCGGAATGTCCTCCTACTAAGGCCGATAAGGGATTTACCTACGTTAACCTGCCGTTGGTCACTGATAATATCTATCGGAGACAAGTAGTAAGTTAATTCACTTACCATTTTGTCTTATCATCTATGAAGAGGCAAGGCTAATAGCTATCACAGATGTCCTTCGCAACCGACTATCTTAACTAAGTCCTTATACTACAACGTCTAACCAATACTATTATATTATCACATCGACCTTCAATACAATATACTAGGCTGTTTTAAATGCGCCCCCTCAACCCGGACCACCCATGGGGGGAATTCTGCACATCAATTATAGTATCTTCAGGTTCGTACCTCATCCTTTAATACAGGTCTTTAGGTAGCTAATCTTCTCATCCAGTGGCCAACCTAATTACAACCCTAAACTACATAAACCATATTAATTAAACATCTTCCGCGTCGTCTTCTCCGCCTTGAACGGGAAACCATACCTCAAGAAACCCAAGACAAGACGTACGCAGGAATTTGGGATTACAGTTACCCCTATTATGAAACAACTTCAGACGGTTGCCTACTGCATTGAACACGCAGTTACAGAGACGACAAAAAGGTGACGAAGAAAGAGACGAGTAAACCAGGACCTTGAGTCCTATGCTCCGTCGGGCGGCGCGGCGGTTCAAATACCTAAACTCATGCGTCATAAATACACATCGTGTCGCGAGGTGGAGCAAGAAGCAAGGAAACAACTTCGTTGTCTCGCGGGGAACTTGAAGCTCCTGCTACGGGAGCCTACATCTATACATACTGACAGTGTCCTTTGTTCTAGATGTCTCATCTAGAATCCTAACACATTGGACGACTGAGTGGGAAAGGATATACAGATATTCAGGTAGATAATCATAGCATGCCCACTGGATGTAAACGAATTCATCAGGAGCCTAAAATCATCGCTTAGATTACAGTTTGTTAGGATCACAAACATCACCTACTTAACAAGTATAATTATAAGAAGACAAATTATTTCACAACTACCGTTCCTCAATAATGATGAGGAGCCCCGCCTAAGCCGCAATACTTTTCAATAATTGCTTGAAGATACAGGGGAAAATATTGTTTTGCCGATGTAGACATAGATCCAGGATAAGTATCCTTCGATTAAGTTGTGTTTCGTTGATGCTTCCTAGAGTTAGTTGTAGCGTACCATGTGTTCTATTTCTACACAATATCTGCCCCATTCCACCGTACGCGGTCTCATAGCTGGATAACAGTAGTTACACTAACATCAGAACTTCCAACGCTCTAGATATATTTTTACCCAAGTGATAATCACCCTCCACGGAAATTCCAGAACTACGTAGGATAATACTTCCACGTAGGTAAACCGACACATAAGAAATAAGAAAAAAAACATGGACTAAAAAAAGCGCTCTAACCCTCAGTCAACAGGATCGCACAAGTAATTGTTGCAACCTCCGGGAATCGAACCCGGGTCTCAAGCTAACTACCGAATAATGGAAGGCTTGAATGATAGCCATTACACTAAGATTGCTTCAAGATTGCATGTTTGCTCTGGCCCTCATTGCGGTATATTATCGTGTAAACACAGACAGCCAATCATAGTTGAGGATTCCTTCGCGCTTAGAAGAAGGGGAAAAAAAAGTGGTTGAGACTAGCGCAACTCGGGAGCAGGTGGGTTTGACGATGGGGCTAGGGTAAGTGGGTGGAGATGAGCTTGCTGGGTTAGGTTTTATGATCTAGCAGAACTGAGAGTTCGGTGTGTGTCGTGGGTTTTGAAGTGTTTACATAGTACTCTTAGAAGAGGAGTCTATAATAATTAATCTAGGTATCTAATAGGTAAAAACTAGAGTCGTTTAATCTACCCCATCACCCCCAGTCTGTGAATCACTACCCTCGTCGCTGACATCAAGCTTCTCGAATTTCCTGCGAGCCTCTTGGTAGTCTTCGTCCTTGCTCACATCCTCAGCTTCCACTTCCACGTTCACCGCCTCCTTGTCCTGCTTGGCGGCTTCCAGCGCAGCCGGCTTTAGAGACCCATCCTCGTTGACGTCTTCCTTACGGTAGAGCGTAAACACAACGACCAGGTAGGTGTCGTTAGTCGACCGGTTTCGTAGCGTGTATCTAAGGGTGTGTGAGCGTTTCGGCTTGGACCTAGATACCGTAAAACGACGCAATGAGAAAGGACGATTCTAACAAAGCAAAGTGGGATATGTCAGTAAGTTGGGGGTTTTCTTACCGTAAGCTCTGGCCGTCCCAATACTTCATGATTGGTAGCGTGAAGCCCGGTAAGCGCAGGCTGAACTCGCTAAAGTCCAAATACGGGTTGAAAAAGTCCAGGCAGTACGTTTTATCGTACTGGAATAGCCATTTGCTCTTATTTGCTGGCTTCAAAGCCCACTTCATGCGGTCTTTCGCTATTGCTGGAGCGCCGATGGCCTCTCGCTCTTTCAGCCCATCTTCGTCGCCACCTTCCTCAAACCATAATCCGCCCTTTTCGGGATTGACTTCTCCTGTACCAATATGAACGGAGTTAAACGATGAGAGGGCTGGTCCGTAGAGATATGGCTGATCAGCGTACGCATCGCCCTCAAGGCCGGGATCGATCCACCATTTTACGATGTTCATAGCATAGCTAAAGCCGGGTGGGAGGCGGTCACGGATTGGATATTCAAAGTCATTGCCGAACTGGAGATCTTCCCCAGATATACCATTTGTCGATTCTTCGCTGGTATCTTCCCCGCTAGTTTCCGGAGACGATGACCTGGACGGGTCGGTAGAAGTAGTTTTTGAGTTGGGAGCACTTGTTGGCCTCTTGGGGGTAAAGCGAATCGCTATGCTGTACTGATCCTTGCTGGAAGCATGTGGTTCGTGAGAGAAATAAGGGGACGTAGTAGGCGAATTCCTTGGCAGACCCCGATAATTTTGCACGCGAACGTTGAGGTCGATGTCGATTAGCTCGCTACTAATTTTAACTGGCTCGTGCGTGTTAACTGGCACTACGACATGTTGATCCAAGTCGTAATCTGACCCAGCAGTTACTCGAATAACGTATTTATCTGCCATGCCGCGAAACGGCTGTGTTCTGGTCTAATATAGTCTAGAGACCACCACAGCTCAGTCTCATACAGTTGCCCCGCGGCTAGTATTCACGTAATGGGGTTTAGTAAGCCTAGAAATACAAGATAATTCTAGTATATATAGAGAGAAAACACCCAATCCTAAACTTCGACCGGCGATCGTACGGCTCCGACTTCTTCTTTACGGCATATGGCGAATACCAAAGAGGATTAAATCGGGGGGGTTAAAGGGAAGGATTAGGATGGTGGTTGGTTCTTGATTAACAAGAAAAAGCACACAGAAATCGAGGAAGTCTAGAATAAATCAAATACAAAGGGGCTAGAAAGTTAACAATGGAAGTTGGAAAACTAGAACGTTGCTGAATTCGTAATGTAATGTTTGATACTAGCTGCGTTACCCGTCCGCGCAAGCGCGAGACGGAGCAAAACTCCTTGCCACAGATGAGTTTAGCCTCTGATTGGCTAGCCACACCTTAGCGCACGTCCGATGAATTTTTTGTAAAATCAATTGACCTATTATACTATTATATAAAAGATTGAATAATTGGTATCGTTTAATAGAGCTTGTTTTGCGCGACATTTCTATACTATTTGCACTTTTTGCAGATTTTATGCGATAGAATGACAAAAGAAAATGTCACCAACTGCAGGGCGATTCTAAGGATCTGATTGATTGGAAAAATTGTGGCAGTACTAATAAAATATAGGAGAGTTGATTTGTTGGATCTGGAATTTGCATGGTGGTGGATGACGTCGCTAAGGTAAACCGGGGTCTAAAGCACGAACCAAATCTTATTTAATGGAGCTACGAAGTACAATACGTGAAGTCTATCAAAAAAGTAACCTAAAACATCGGGTTTAGATATAAATCCATACCTTATGTACCTCTTATATTTATCAATGATACGATATTCATTTTATTACGCTTGAGACGTCATCTAGGAAGTATGAGTATGTTGAATATTCAGCTGGTCAAGTGCTACTAAGTACACGTATTAATCTAGCCTTTGTACTTTGACGTATAACGTCTTCTAAACTTGGGAATAAACAGGTACACTAGGGTTCCGTAGATTTCATCACAATGGTAGTCTCTATTGAAGGAGCAACGTTCGTCGGGGGAAAACACAGGCTTCGATCCTAAGATAGTATGTACTTGAGAAAATAATATATACGTTTATGGTAATGGCGATACTATTTGGGCACGAGAAATTGATCGATATCGACTCTTTCGAAGAAGCTAATGTGGCCGAAGCCAACCCAATACTGCGCCAGGCGATTATATGAGAGTAAAAGAAGCTGTGACTCAATATATCGATCTATAGATAGTTTAGTGGAAATGATGGAAATAATACAAGTATTAAGTATCTCACCGTTAGAAAATCCCATATGAGCAATGTGGCCTCGGCTTTTCACGACTCGGGCGCCTTCGAACGGCGGCTCTTTAGCCGTGCCTAACAATCCATTGTCGCTTAGATCATCAGCAACAAAAGTATACTCGCCTCTCGGTACATTAACGTCGCCTGTTAGCTTGACCGCTTCTAGCCGGCCGCGATAGACACGTTCGTGAAGAAAACGTTGTTCAAACTCCGACTCTGTTTCGTCCTGAAGCCGCTCGAAAGGTTCCTCCTCACTCTCATCATCAGGCTGGTTGATCAATAGAAACTCGCAACCGTGCCCGCTAAAATCGCCAACCCATATCCCTCTCCAGGGTTTCTCAGCCGTTGAAGTATATAGGGCGGGGTCAAGAGTTGAGTAAGTTACTAACTCTTCGGCAGCATGCACACCGAGAGTTGGCGGCCCCATCTCCATCCATCGCCTAATACGGAACGTTTGATCGGACGCTTCTGAGCGGTTGCGCGGCTGCCACATTGCTGACGTCGACCTTGTATAACTCAGGGATGTCGCAAGCGGATGCACACCGGTCGGTTGGCCCGTCACACGATGGCGTGCTGGAATTGCGGGCGGGGGCCAGACATAACCGTAAGGAAATTCGTTTATCATGCGGCCAACTAGGGCGGACTTGGTAAGAGGCTTTGCTAGAAGAAAGTTGCTAAATCGAGGGTCCGTCCCGCTATTAATACGCATTGGCTGCTCAGAGAAAAAATGTCGGAAGGATAGAGATGGAGACTTTCCACGAACTATGTTCTCGAAGCTATCTACATCCAGTTGCAATACGGGCTTGTCGAGATGCAACTTTACAGTAGGTTCGAAATAGTGGATGTGGACTGCCTGGTCGGCACCCCATGGCTCGCTACCATCTCTATTACGCGTAGCGAGCATCTGATAGCCTTCAATGCAGCCTCGCCGCTCGTCGTAACGGATGATGATTACTTGGCCGGTCAACTCATGATCGCAAAACCATAGCTTGTGTTTCGTCAAAAACCAGTACGGGTCGTGGGATATGTAGAGCTCGCGCCAGCTTTGACATGGATACGGGGAAGTGACATGATTTCCTGGAAGGTTTGATAATACGTGTCGCCTCCACTGTGTATCGGAGTTTGCATGGTTTCGAAGTGCATGGCAGACGAGGGAGACGGTGGCTAGCTCTAGAGGAGCAAGCCAGGAAAATATCGCATCGATTAATTCAGAGGGAAGATTGAGGATAGGGCTTATATCGGAATCGCCGCTCGAAGACGAAAGGGCTGGGCTTAGGTCTGTCGGTAATTGTTAGCTAAGGGGTCTTTGAATCCGAGGTCCCATGCTAACGAAAAGAGCGTGAACGCCGCTCATGGAACGGCGGCGTGGATTCACGAACCTCGGCTTGCCACGCTTGTACTACGTCGCTGTATAGGAACATCAAGGTCCTCGTCTAAGTCGGGACCGAGCAGCTTGCGGCGATCCGTAGTACCGTACCGCAAATCATCATCGGGAACAGACTTGACAACGAGGACATGCTCTTCAATTTCGGGGTTTAATCCTCCGTACGTGACAGCGGGATTGTGTATATTCACTGTGTAAGTCGAGGTTGACCCTGACGGCGCGTTGTCCGGTGCCGTGGCGTTGCTGGAGCTAGCCTCATCCGACGAAGTGGTCGTGGGCCTTGGGTGCCAGATACGCTCGCGGCCTTCGTCGGACATTTTGACGACTCCCGCTGCGGAACCCAAGCGTACAGGTTGACAAGTCGGGGGTTCGAAGGATCCAATTGACAAGGATGATCGCCAAGTAGTGGAGAGCTGAGGGGTTGAAAACCCAGAGTCGGTCGTGGAGAGAGAAGATTTAACGAGATCCGGATCGTGAATGATTTAAAGCACGCCAATTTTCCTACAATCTTTTCCCCTCTTGATATCGGCAATGGTGGCTCCTAGTCGCGCTAAGGTGACGAGCATAGGGACGCTGTCTGAAGATTAAGAATAAGGAGGGAGGTATCTCGTTATCATAATGACGGTAGATCAATTATTTGCAGATTTAAGCCCGACGTAGATGCGACAGCTCATCTGTTAACATGTGAAGTGGACGTGGTTCCACGGCGGCGGTTAAAAGTAAAGTTTGGAATTGATAGAATCATCGAATTAATTGATAGGCTTGGCTAGCAAGGCACCAAGATGTTATGTGGAGGGTGGAAAAGATCGAAAGAGGGATTCCAATGGCTTATCAATACCGGTTCTGCGCTGTCTATATATCCAAGTTTCTCCAGGAGTTGTTCAGAATTGATTGAAGGAATCGGAACGGGATCGGTCTATTGGGGGATAAATAAGGTAACGTAGACGATTAGTCGACTGCCATGTTGTTTCGATTCGATTATGACCTTGCCAGTTTGAACCTGCCAACTTGCTACCTCTAATCGCGCTGACCCACCGGATTGGGACCGGGAAGGTTCCACCCATACTGCCCATACCACACAGTACCTTATGTAGTCCCACAACTATTCCCCTAATCGTTGTCATTACAGGGAATATGGGCGCTATAGCCGCACCTCTTAATGCTATATTTTTGGCCCCATCACTGTTTGGCATTTATTACTGACTAAAACCTCAAGCTCGTACCTGCTATTCTCATGCACGTTTTCCTTCATACGAGGAAGGTATATTAGGTGCCTAACCTTAGCGCATCTTTCGATTTTGTTCCTTACCTTAGGTACCTAGATCCATCAAAATCGTCTTCTGATCTTCCTCACCGTCTTCGACATCACTGCCAATACCACTGCCAGATCAACTAGTCCCGAAAGAGCCATATTCCGCATCGCGGCATCGCGGCATACCTTACGTGTTAAGCAGATTACCGCCCAAGAGTTTCTTGGTCCGGATATCCGTGACAAAACGATTCTATGTATGGCGTATCTCACGGTTGAAGATCCCTATCACACGCCATACCATCCTTTTCGCTCGGTTGTAACTTCAAGATGTGGCTAGTCCCCTAAGTTATTAGGACAATAGTTTTATCCCCCATGCATTGTCTACCGAAAACTTACCCACCAATACATCTCGCGTTACGTGAATCTAACCTTGCAGGATCCCCGATCTCACTATGCTCTCGATCCTATTGGAACGGCTGCTCATTCCTCTCGTGGGAAAAAAGCCTGGGGCCGTGAAAGGAAAACCAGCCATTATCGACCGGCCATTATCGGATCACAGATCCAATTTGGTACGCTACACCTGACGATGCTACGATACATATCGGAGCCATCAACTAAAAGAACTCGAAAACTACAACTGCGATACTGCCCTTCTATGTTAGTAGTACCTGTTGGTTATCATTATTCACCCGACTCGAGATCTACGTGCTGCTCTGCAAAAGAAGAGCCGAAAGAGTCGCCCTTCATATGCTCTACTGGTATGATAGGCCAATCACACGAGTCGCCATACCTTGCAAGGTTATAAGATGTACTTCCGATGGCAAACCGCCTTCCCTTCTAGTTATCGACTGATGCTATGGGTAAGGATTCTTTTCCACGCAGGCATTTACCCGTCTATATTTCTTGATATTACCATGCAGGTCCAGACCAGAGCACTCTTGGCTACAGATTTACTATGTCTAACCCCAAGATCTATTATGGATTATCGCTAGGCTTTTTATAGATGCGTATACCGCATAGACCACCTGCAATCGGAGCGGTTTCTTGGCATGTGTGTTATGATGTTACCAATGTTAGGACATCATCGCCGATGCTAGAAACCCTTTGGGCGAAGTTTGTGAAGCATGATTTCGCCCGCATGCAGGTCAGGTTTGCAAAGTTTACTCGCCAGGCTTGCTTGGCACGCTGAAAACCGCCCTTGGCATTTGGCGACAAGACTCTTGGTCATCTGCGCAAACGTCGGAGCCCTAGGTCCCCTGCCCATCTTGTCAGGGTATGGATGCAAATGCGACTCAACCTGTTATCAGCGACACCAGCGAAAATCGGAATTTCACTTCGCCTACGGAAATCTGTTCCCGTGATGCCATCGGCAGTCGTCTAGTATTGGAGTACTAGATTTGGAGAGCCGCTGCTATTTCTGTCGTGGCCGTCCCGACTTTTGAGCTTCCTCTTCGAGTCTACTTGATTACTAGTATGGCTAGGGACTGTGTTGAAACCATATGTAGTCCGTGCGAATCCAGCATACCAAGATCGTCCCGCCTCTCCGCTGTCCTCCACTGCTCGGCGGACCTGTCATCCTGAGCATGCCAAGCGTAAAGTACTATTTAGTTGCAGCATCAAGCTGTTTGCCTAGCATTGTAGGCTTTCTCTTCAGGCCCCCCCCCTGGATTTGACTAGGCCCATGAAGCCCGAGGCCACGGAACACCTTGTCGCCCCTAAGCGACGGCCCCCTATTTTTGGCATCGATCTTATGCCTAAGCACCCTTGTGATTGTGGCTGCCGAGACCCGAGGGACTCTTCCTCTTTCCCGACGAATCATGTCTAGTCCAAAGACCCGAGGCTAGATATATGATATATTCAAGGGCGAAAACTAGTTCATTCCAGTATGTCCGGTTTGGGGTCACCATGTTTAATCAGGTGAATTCATGATCTCTAACCTTATGTTCTCTTTTGCTACGCGACTAGGCTCTTTTTATTCTATACAAGGCTGCTCAATTTAAGCCCTTGCCTCATGAGCCCTTTTTTTTTTGAGACAATACGAAAGAGCTTTTTATAGTAATATCTATAGCCTAGCCTAGAGAAGAGGTCTTCTATTAATGCTATTATGAACACGAGGATACCTTTTGGCAGCAAGGGAAGGTGTGTTAAGGGTACGACCCTAGCCCTTGATGAGCCGATAGTTACTCCTTTGCAGTTACTCACTAGAAGATGAGATGAATATTCGTCATTACCCATCATATGTGCGAATAAGTAATCATGCCGTATCTTATACGTTCTTGAGTTTTAGAGGATGATGTAGAGAGCCTTGACCAATAAGCATAAGCATGAAGCAGGTTAGACTTAGTACCTTCCTCAGTTATATACAAGCTATATTTTGGCACAAGTGTCCGAACTTATAAGAAAGTCAGCGTAATAGTCTAGTTTATAAGTTTAATTCGTTTAATTACCACCTATATACATGTACGAAATGCCAATCGCTCATTTCATCTGTCATCAATTAGGTACCTACATATGTACTTAACATAGCAGCTCGTGTATCCTAGAAGGTGGAGTCTACGTGGTCCACTGTTTTAGGGCAATGTGCACGGACCATACTGCATACGTATTTTCGTACCTAACCTGAATGTAGCGGGCAGACGTCAGGTAGTTTCATCAATGTTAACTTATTAGACTATAAAGTTACCTACTATAATCACCTCTACATCACATAACGTGAGCAAGATAAAAGCTATATTCAAACTTCATCAACCCTATTTATTAGCCTCGCTAGCCTTATATCGTATATCTACATGTACTTGCAATCCTGATTTAGCAAGCTGTTAAAATTTATTGAAGCCTTACCCCTCAGCTATCTTCCATCATCAATCCATTGTCCCTTTAAGTCCGTTTTCATCCTGTATACTCATCTTCAATAATACTACTCCGTATGTGCGTCATCCCAACTATTATAGGAGTCATGTCTGGATTCTTTTCTCTTCTTCCCGACCTGCTTCCCATGATACTACCTTCCGAGGTACAAATCACAAAAGCTTCTGATCTTGAGGCTCAAAGAGGCGGGAAGGATGCGCCCATGATTCGCCAGGGAGCCGTGATCGGCAAGAGTGATAGAATGTGTGCTACCGGTAAGCTACCTATTTATCTACCTGTCCAACTACTTCCCTTTTGTACATATACTGTGCGTCCTGTAGGATGCCATTATAGACAATAATCAACCTTTGCCCGATCCCCAATCATGTAGTCGTTCCGACCCTATGTCAGATTTATAGTAACATCGTCCATAGTCCTGATAGCCAAGCCCCGGTGTTCCTCGGCAGTACATCACCATGGCGAGCAAGGTCAGTCTTGGCTCGATCGCAAACGCGTCAAAGTACTCTATCTAATATTCACATAGAGACTATCATCTACGCCGCCTCAGGCAAGGGAATGGTATGTATTAAAAGAATTTTAATATGAGGATATACAACCTTCTTTCTCTACTATCTATCATTAATTATTACTCCACGTAAATCATCTAGGCTAACTTGTTCGCAGTACGTAATTACGCCTTAATTACTCTTGTACCACTCTTCGGCTTTCCATCTCCAATAAATTGAAATTTCTAGGGTCTGCAGGAAAAACTGACAAATGATAGATTGGTGACTAGCTCTGGTGCCGACGAAGAACCCAAGAGACATGAGCTCTCGCCAGGCGATTTTGCTTTCATCCCTCCCTGGACTGAACACCAAGAAATCAACGAGACTGATGAGAATGTTGTGTGGATCCTTATCCGGAGTGGCCCGGAACCCGTGGTGGTCTACTTGACAGGTTGGGGAGGCGGCGAGGCAAAGGCTGATTCAATCGATTGAAGCTACTATCAATAGCATTCACATACAGCCAATTCAACAAGTTTGTACGTGTAGGTCTGAAATACCAGGAGTCTGGTAGCGCTTGAATCTTTAACCCTATTACTTATTAACTAGATAATTAGTGGCAATTTCCAGGGTGGACATCTATTCTTTACAATGACGACGTATTACTCTGCAAAGTCGATCCTGAGTCTGCTCCGATTCAAACACTTGAGCATGGTCTAATCCCGGAAACCAGAGCAGCTCGATCCCGTCGTGTGTGAGAAGGCTATCCCCCAATCCATCTCGTTCTATAAACCGCTCCTCAAGCCTAGCATCTCCTTTATCTGCAGGGTTGGGGGTGACCCATCCATCACCATCAGCGCTCAAATATTGGGCCACCACTGAAGTGTTGACAATCAAATCTCGCTCTGCAAGACACACCGCTACCTTTCGCCGCGGTCTTGCAGTAGCCCGGCCCCCCTGATCACCCACACCACCTACTTCTGTAGGTGGTCGTCTCGCCACTCCCAATAGCTCTTCCTTCCAAATAATATTATCTTTCCAAAAGAAATGCCGTCCAAGGCAGTGCGCCACCCCAGGATCCATACTCGCAAAGTACCATAGCAGCCATTCGTTGGCCCCTTTAGGCCTGCGTCTAGTAAAGTTGTATGCTACATCTGGTAGATGCAACAAGATAGTCACGGGGTCGATGAGTACTGCTGAAGCAATCCGGTCGCTTAGGTTTTCCGAGCGCAGCATGTGGGTTGCCAAGACGGTTCCATACGAATGGGATGCTAACACGAACCTGTCCCACCCGTGCGCATCCAGAATCGTAGCAACCTGCTTCAGGAATTCGACCTTGCCCAATGGCTCCCCCGTGAGCCGGAAGGACACTGGGAGAACCTCGATAGCGATAATACCTATCTGTCCCTCTCCATCCTGTTCTTTTGATTGCGAGTTCAGTCGAGCGAAGAATGGCACGTACGGGTAAAGGCCGATACCGATACCATGCAAGAATACGACTGGAAGTTTATCGGGAGCGGTATGCGGACGGTGCCAGTAAGTGAATCCCTCTGCCTCGGAATACCTTTGGGCGAAGGAGTCTTGTAAGCGCGGAGGGATGAGGGAGCGGGTCTTAGACGGCGAGTGGGCGTGATAATGGAACCCGTTACGCGCTAATCGGCAATGCGACATAAAGTCGACCAGTGCCACGAGAAAATACCACACAACACTTCTATATCGGGTTTCCACTTCGTCCAGAGTCAATCGGAGACCCTCAGCCTTCCCTCTTCCCGGTTCTAACCTGCGTCCCAGGCGTCCTTCTACAATTTCTATGTACTCGTCTATTTCTTTGGCTTCTTCGTCGGACTCCTGACCTGGGCCCTTATCAAGAAACGCCCAAAGAATAAAGTCGTGTACGTTGTCTCTCCGTATCTCAGACTCGTCTGCGCCAAGGAACCACATCTGGACATAGCGCCGGGCGTCAGGTATGTTTGTGAAGCAGCGCTGAAACAGAGCACGACGTTCTTCACATGAAAGCTGAGGTGGATGCTTTGCTTCGTCCTTTAACCGCTGATTGTGCGGGATGTAGATCAGAATAGCGTACAGCACGTCAACTATGCAGTAGAGGAGTGTCACTATGCCTGGAGGGCGGGATAGCACCGCTGAGAGGGACCAGCTATGGGCCGCTGCCAAGAGTGCTAGACATGCTATGCAGAGCGGCGTTGTATACTGCAGCATGAATATGCATACACGGATGAAGATGTACTCCGGTATCGACGTGCCAATCATAACGACAGCGATTACGGCTTTGGGCAAGACGGGAGCCAGTTATGAGTTATGATAGGTAGTGTGTGTCGGTCTGTCTACCACCTCTTGTCTCCTCCCTCTTCGCTCTTAGTAAATTTCGATAGATTAGGTTAGGTAGTGAACGAGATGAGAACTTGGGTCTTTCTGATGTAGGCGATACTGTAGTTAATCGATATTTACCCAACAGAATTGTAATTTATGTAAACAAGAACGTTTTCGCATCAACTCCAGTAATGATGAAACTCGCTCAATAGCTTCCAAAGACGGAAGGCCTCGAGATGGGTAGTTATTAAGGTTATCCGCTCAACATTTTGTGGCTTGGCAGCCTGTTTTTGCTGAGGAAATCGACGCAACTCGAGTGACGTTGCTATTTCGTACCTAGGTATATACGTTTAACCTAGGTAGGGTACGTAATAGGATGCACACGTTGTTACATGTGCAAGCAGACGAGTGGCTGACGGTTTTTGATTGTGGCTGCACTAATGGCTGGTGACTCCGATTACCTAATGTAACTCGGTACCTAGGTACATCGAATGGTTCAAAGAGCAGAAAGGGGGCCCCTAACCCCTTTTAAGTGGATGGCCAGCTCACCAGCTTAGGATCAAATAACTTAGAAGAATTCCAGCCAAAACATAAGATTTAAGTTTTATTCTATTCAGAATGTTTTATCAATTGGTACTAGATATGGAGATCTGAGGTAATCATGAATTTGTTTGCGTTCAAGGGAAATCTACCTAAAGTTAAGAATAATGTGTATGGATTCTAAACACTCCCCTCCGATTGTAATTTCTTCAACTTCAAAACGTTCTGCATTGATGGGAGGGTTTTTATAGCATGATTGATAAAATTACACTTGAGGGCATTGGAACGGTTCCATTTTTTAGTTGGGTATTTCTTCAATATATTGGATATTACTAGCTGATGTAAAATCTACGTTGGCCACGTCTACATATATGTAGACTGACATAGTGAAGAGACTGTGAATATTAGCATATGTAGATTTAGAATAATTCACTTTGGAAATAATATTCCTGCAGTTGTTGATATGGCCTTAATCGGTTTATGAAGCTTTCCTCGTGATGTTACTACTTGTCTTTGTACTTGGTCAATGCCGATAATTTTGGATCACTGGGCATATTTTATTGATTCTGGCAGTTAACAACATCTTTTAAAGAGAACCACCTTAAATCTGTCCCAGACGGTTAATCTTCTGAAAGCTTTTAGATATAATATTCGTTTTTGTGAGGTTCCGAGAATTATTACCTTGACTGTCCTGTACCCTACCACATTTTTTCAAGGTAAGACAAATATCAAATTCACATGGAAAGTGAATAAAAGGCCACCTCTCGCCTTTTTAATACAAATGTTCCTAAAATAACCTAGTTATGTTTAGAATTAATCTCAGTCGTCCGGCAGCATCTCCGTATATATTTCGATGAGACTTGCCAGAGTTATTACATCACAACCACTAACAAGTTAGCATGCTAGTGTTCGAGAGTCGTCACTTTACAGCCCTTCATTCTTCACTAAACTTAGGTTGGTAGGATACTGGAATTTATGACACCCAAGCTTTTTACGTATACTTGACAATAACGTGTTTTCCCACCTCGCGTTCTCACAGGGGTATGATGAATAGCATACCATAGTACTGATACGAGACACGAAGCAGTTCGAGAAAGGTAATAAAGGAAGGGAGCATGATATTGGAAGATCTAGTTTACATATTGAAGACTGCTATTCCGTGTAGAATCTCCGTGATGATATGACCAGCCATTGCTAAAGATCATTTGTTACAACACGATACATTATATGAATGATTCGAGACACGCCGTTTACATATGCCCTATCATTGATCCTAGATTCTTAATAGATCATCCCAGATACTTTTAGATCAGTGTAGGCAGGCCAAGTAATCATATGTACCTCAAGGGGTCCGCTTATATTTAATGTTGGCAGGAACTTAGCACTGATTAGTCGTCCAGTTGATCCTACCCAATGGTGTTTTGCGCATAAAATAAGATTTTAAATCAATACCTGATGACTGATTCTCTTGCAACTTGTTACTAAGTACCTGGAGTGATTTTGTCAGAGGGATGCTTAGATAAATATGGTTCTTTCCTTCCTCTAACAATTTATTCTTCTACTAAGATATCTTCACCTTGTCACTTCCTCCTCTGTCACCTCGGAGCAATACGGAGACAGGCCGACAGTCATTAACACCCGAAGTCTGACAACCTGACAACCTTCTCTGTGCATATCTGTTTCAGTTCATGCATCTTTTCTCACCCCAAGACCATCTCACTCGTCTTGTGTTTATCCATCCACTGGTCTTCACACTCTCGTGGGAATTGCATCCACAAACAACTTTCTTTTCAACCCAAAATTACATACAATTACAAGGTTTCAACCTTTTTCAATCTCTGTAAGCTTTACGGAGCCTTTATACCCTTTCATCACATTGTCGTCATCTTACCATCCTCGCAATCCAACATACTTTACGATCATCATTATCACCTTTGGTTGGTTTTGATTTACATTCGATCACCTTACAGCCCCGTTACTTCATCCCGTTTTCAATTAGGAAACCCGTTGATATCATTTTGCAACAATTCAAATGTTGAAAATCAAATCCACAACCGCGACCATGCGTCGAGCAAAGTCCCAGGCCGAGCCTCAGGTCGGGCTTCACACGGATCTCATTATCACCAACACGGGTATCTCGAATGAACTATTAACAGCAATGCCGATGGAGATAATGCTCGAAATTTCGAAGTACATGAGTCAAGCCACTAAGGTTTGTCTGGCCCAGACTTGTCGCGGCCTCTCAACCGTCATGGACGTAGCTCTATACGATCAGGATAGCAAAGAGGATCGACACGCGCTGTGGTGGGCTTGCATGAGTAACCAACATAAACTTCTACGACGTATCATCAACTATGACTCCAGCCTTGTCAACTATCATTTCCGAAAGGTCCATGCTATCAAATCCGTACACTCCATCCCAAAACACCTAATGAAGGTTTGCGCCAAACATAGAGGCGCTGATTTCAGCATTCATCTCACCCCTCTCACGGTAGCCATTCGATTTGGAAGTTTCAATATTTTCACTACTCTACTCAAATTAGGTGCAAACGTGAATGCTGCCGTCCCCTCCAACGGTATGGGTTCTGGCAAGCTCTGGCTTCCTATCCATTGGGTGGTTCGCCTAACTAAGAGCGGTAAGGACTTTGAAGACTGTGTCAGTCTTCTGATCAAGCATGGCGCCAACATTAATCAAGCTCCTCTGCTACCGGGAATAATTGGACAGTGTGGAGATGGTGTTCCTCTATTGGAGGTGATCGACTTTCAGCCCTATTTCGGACAAAACCGCTCGGAGCCTCCGGACGCTTTGTACGAAACTCAGATCAAGACTCGTATTAGTAAGGCCAAAGCACTCCTTCGATTTGGAGCGGACCCCAACTTTCGAGATCCAAGCTCCCTTGAAACTCCGATCTTTAAGGCGGCACGATCTTTAGCTTCCTACGACCCGGAGTCTCCGTTTGCAAAACAGATTGCGCTTCGTCACGATGTTCAGCGCGTCTACGAAGAAGTTGTAGTGGTCAATGCTTTGCAGCTTTTCAAAGCCTTGATCGATCATGGCGGAAACCCGAATATTTCCTGCGATAGGACCACCGCCCTGCATCTCCTATGCAAACGCAGCCGGGAGTATATCCACCTGATCTATTACCTCTTACAGGCAGGAGCTTGTATCAATGCTACTGATGCAAACGGCCGCACCCCTATTTACCAATACGTGATGTTCCCTCGTAGTCACATATTTCTCACCGAATTCATAGAGCACGGCGCGAATGTCAACCATCGGGACTTCAAGGGCCGTACCCCGCTACACGTAGCCTGTGCCGACTATAATGCTTGTCATTCGTATCTACAAGATACTATTAAGACACTACTTGAGAACGGCGCCGACCCTACTCTAGTTGACAATGAAGGCAATACCCCGCTTGCCCTTCTTGACGCACGAAGGATCCGGACTTGGGTCGAAACCCGAAAGATTCTCCTAAAGGCCGAGTTGAAGGCATCCGGAGCTGATTCGGAAGAATTGGAAGATGAGCAATACAAGGAGGATGATGCCGATTGGCTCATATACAATGACTTGGAAGAAAGTCATGATCTCATGTGGAGAGATTACTGGTAACAGGGGGGAGTTTTCTGAATTAGTGCCGTGGCGCTCTAGCTGTGATGCGTGAAGAAGCAAATGCCATAAAGTGGCAGAAGTCCAGGATGCGGACATAGAGATCATCAGAAGATCAATCAGGATTTCACCTACGGAGGGTGAGAAAAAGAGAACAAAAAGGGGAGAAAATCAGATTTGAATGGACGATAGGAAGGAGGGAGGGGGTTTGATACCCAAGTCACTAATACCCCAAATGTTGATGGGGATCACATCGGCAACTATATCCCCAGAGGATCAATGCCTTTGTTTGCCGTTCACTTCTTGTTTCGCCTTTGGCATGCAATACGTTGGAAGTTGGAAGTTGGAAGTTGGAAGTTTGAAAAATCGCCGTCGATAAGGGCATGACTGTAATGTTGGAGGGTCAGCTCGAATTTCTCATGTTTTATGTTTTGATAGATACCTACTGGCTCGGCTTTGCAATAGGCGTTTGCCTCGCAACTTTTTGCACTCCTTAATGGCCTACACGGCACGATTACTTGCTTGCTCTTGTTGCAGTTATGTATCATTGCGGTTGCGATAACTCGAAATACTTTTTGGCACTCTAATTGACTACGCTTTGAAGCTAGAATTGATGATTCGCCTCTGACTAGGTCCTTAAACTATATCGTAAGGTAGTGGTCGTATTAACTGCTGCTATGCTTTCGTGATGCTAATTATTAAGGTAAGACTTCTGGCGTAGGGTTGTAAGAGTATTATAACTACAGAAATGGGTGGAATAGTAAAGTATAATGGTAGAGTTATTATTCGGGCCATCTTTATGGATCTTCTTCCATCTTCGGATATCCCTTCATTTTATTAGAGGCTTGTTATGTATGATTATGCTAGTAAAGCCATTATCGTCATTTTCTTTCTCAGGTCATCAGAATCTATGCTACGAATCTCTCTTTCTTTAGGATTACTTTTAGGAGAGCAGGATTATCAGTTCTTAGATGGTCTATGACTATAATAAGACATAGGTATTAGGGTATGGATGTCAATTTATCGACCCTACTGGTATCATTGTCGGTAACAGTATCTACGTGAGTTCCAAAATAAACATAGGTTAAAATGTAGCGATTGAGATGTAGTAAACACATTGAACAATAGACACGGAAGTAATGTAAGCCTTATCTGGACTTTTCCTCTTTCAAGATCGTTTGTACTTAAGTACCTATTTACAAACCACTGTAGAGTATTTTCTTGATTGTGAGATTGGTACTATTCGAATATGAATCGAGAACCAGATTTAAAACCTCGAAAATAATTATTTCCTGCTCTGTTCTAACGCAGCACGGTGTTGCCTAAGTTCATTGTACCTTTTCGACTTGGCAACAACCCTTCGCATTTATCGGGCCCTGCATCACCAAGGTTACCATACAAATGTGACTACTAATTTTCCCTCCCCTCGCATCGTACTCGCGCTCTTCAGCATCGCGATAATAATCCGCATCTCCTTTCCTTCATAATAGCTACAAGATCGTCCCAAAGATCCCGCAAACCGCCTGCAGACGTAAGTCTTACAATAATCAAAACTAAATATATTATTGGGCATCTACTGACAAGCTACCATGAATATCAGCACAGGAAAGTCTTGCACAATCATGGCGAGCCAAGCCAACTCGCTTCCAGTAGTAAGATACAGGAAAGGAATATCTGCGGAGACATTTGAAGAATTTCTTCGGGAGGCGTCTCAAGGGGTCCAAGACGGTGTCGATGATGTATTGACCTCATACCAAAGTCAATGTCCGCTACAAGAGGCCAGTCCCTATCGCTGGCAATCACACTGGAAACTTATGCTACATCTCTTCGGATGTAGCCCATGGGACTTGACAACTTGGGGTCTACGCGTCAACATTCGATGTGGATCAACAGTTATAAGGGAACTAAATCTACTCCTCCCACACCCTATTTGGGAAGGAAACGTCGATATCTTACGATACGTCCTCCAGAAAACCGTACTCTATCGACTGGGGGCAGATATAGAGCCACTGGGGCCTTTGACACCAGGCATTGCAGATGTCTTGATTGCGAGAAAGATGCCGGATACACCTGATCTAGCGCTGGAAATGTGGACAGGAGCCAGCCCTGCAACCAACAGCAACGTGATCTGTCTACTCGAGCAGGTATCTAAATACTGGGTGAACTCCGAGAGAAAGCCATGGTCTGCCAAGCCTTTTATTCTCGAACCAGCTGACGTCTTTCGCATTCATGAGTCACTGGATATTCTTTCACGCCATCGCCTGGCACCATTCGCAGTTCAAGAATACTACGACGCTTTTGTCAAACAAGAGATGTGGCCCCATGGCCTAGCTACCGTCGACTCTAAAACGGTAGAACGGTGGGATAAGACGATGCTTGCAATCAAGAACCGCGACAGACGCTTAGGAGAGCCAGACACCCGCGTCGGAAAAGAAAGAGAACGGCACAAGACTTTAGCATATTGGGAGAGCCCAAACTGCCATTCGGGACTTGGAAAATTGGTATCACAGAATAACGCTCCGTATCTTTTCACCATGTGAAATCAGATCATGTTGACTCCGCCATATTATACGTAGGCGAGAAGTACTGATACTATGAGCTCCTATGGTCTTTAATGTTGCACTCAAGGACAATATTAGCTTAGGATATGCAATATACTATTCTTATAAACAGCCCAAGTCCCAAGTACCTAGGCCTTCAACCTAGAGTAGCCCTTCTTTGCTTTAGTTTAGCTCTAGGACGTTGTCGTAACCCATACTTCGTAGAGGCGAATATGCCTTAAGAAACTAGGTACATATTGATTAGAGCGTACCTAATAATCATTTTTTCCAAATCCTCGGAGTTGGGCCCTTGGCTGTGTAATTATAGAGAAGGGTCAGCGTTGCGGACCAGCATCTCAAAATAATCCTGGTGCCATAGCCCTACTCCTGGAGAAAGCTTCACTGCGTCTTCCTTCCCGCAGAATACATCGTACTCGGACTCAGCAGAATCACTCGGGCCATCTGACTCTCCGGGATGTTTCACCCAAACGAAAGCGTCAAGCCTTTCGTTATTTGTTTGCGACGTAGGCCTGATAGCGAAACCGGCGCCGTTGATATTACACCAGTCGTCCCAACTAGATCTCAGCCCAAAAATACCGCTTCGGCTAGTGTCCATGATCGCATGTGTCGCGCTTGCGGGAAGGCCGTTCTTCTGCAGGGCGTCGGAGAGTATGCCCACGAAATGTTGCTCGTTTTGCGGCCTTATGTACCGCGAATCGTCGCCGGCGCCGCTCCGCGATGCTAGATTAGTTCCCTGTAGCATGAATAATAGCATCCCGAGATCTGGATCACGGTGGGCATCTATTGAGTCTTGCTCTTAACGGTAACAAGAAAATATAGCAACATTAACTGTGTAGTGTATTCTGGGATGATTACCTAGCTACCTTAATGATGTTTTATTTGTTTTTCTTCTTATAGATCTTTGTGATATCCCTTTTCACGCCTCTTAATAATTTTAATTTTGAAATTACTTATCAACTACAAGCCCAACAGTTGATGCCTTTATAATATGAAAATCACTCTGTGGTAAGCACACGCGGGAAGTAATAGGGGTATCTGGAGTAAAAGATGTCTCAACTAGCGATATTCACTTAATTATCAAGTCCGTGGATTATTACCGGAACGCATTATAAACATTCGGTCCCGATCGGTCCGGGACCGATCTCTGTTTAAGCAGCTGAGCGAAGCCACAGCTCTTTCATCTTCATCGCGTACCGAGAGCTCCATCTCATACCGAGCGCCAGGAAGCCTAAAAGACGCACAGACCGTCCAATTCATAACAGCGCCTTTTCCCGAAGAGACCGAGTTTACAGGCCATGTCGTAGTCCACTTGAACGTGTCAGCGTCAAGTCTACCAGAGACAAACACGAATCCCTCGGAAATCGACCTCTTCGTCACCTTGCGACACTTAGACGCACAGGGGGAGGAAATCTTCTACACAGGCACAGTAGGCGACCCGGTCCCCGTGACCAAGGGCTGGCTACGGGTAAGTCTCAGAAAAGTAGCCGACAGCCATCCTCGGCACCGGGCTTGGCGCCCCCATCGGGAATATCGCTCGACGGACGTGCTGCCCGTGGAGAGCGGAGTGGTATATGCGGTGGACGTGGAGGTATGGCCGACTAACGTGGTCGTTGGTAAGGGCCATCGGTTGGTGCTAGAAGTCTCGTCGGGAGATACGCAGGGGGCGGGGTTGTTCGAGCATAATTCCGAGGAGGATCGGCCGCGGGATCGATTGGAGGGGCTCAACACTATCCATTTTGGTCCGGAGTGCGACAATTGGATCCTGTTGCCCCTCATCCCCGCATTGTGAGTATGGGATATGAGATACTATGCAAGGTACCCTATAGAAGTGAATAGGTATATAGAACTGCGTTTATATGTGCTAGTATATTATGCCGATGTCGCCCCTATTCCAATGGAATTATATATTTACAGCTCCTTTGAATATCTCTTAACTACTCGAGATAACTACTAGTATACCTACTGCTATATAAAAGAGACATCTTTTACTGCTGTCAACCTTAAGAAAAATAAGATTGTCTGCTAAAGGGGTTTCTAAGCTCCTTCATTATGTCGCCAACATACCCCCCTAACAATCTTCGCGCGCACTCGCGCTTCATCACCACACATGACGCCTCCGGGAAAGCAGTATTCAGCGACGCCGTACCAGAACAGGCGCCCGTCCGCCAGGTCCTAGGCGGGGACATGTTATTCAGCCTCATGTACACGACAGAAGGCTTCCCCGTGTCAATGGCCGGCAGCAAAGACATAAAGACGTACCAAGACTACTTGGCCAACACGCCAGCCATCAGTATCCCGGGGGGAACCGCGTGTCGGACGGTGGACTTTCCGCCCGACTACACGTCGCCGATGCACCGCACCCCGTCTTGCGACTTCGGCGTCGTGTTGGAGGGCGAAGTCGAGCTGGTGCTGGACTCGGGTGAGACTAGGCTGTTGAAGAGAGGGGATGTGGCCGTGCAGCGCGGGACGAATCACGCGTGGCATAATACTAGTAAGGACAGTTGGGCTAGGATGTTGTATGTGCTGCAGTCGGCTGAGAAGGTGGTTGCGGGAGGGAAGACGTTGGAGGAGGATGAGGGAGGAATTGACTAAGTTATTTAAATTTGATCATATATACAAACCAGAGGCGTTTGGCTCAATCCTAAGCTATCATCCACGAAAGAACACTCAAGACTTTAGATCAAGCAATAACAATACACAATACCCCTTTATGAAGCATCCATCAGTGATAAATTCGGAGTTAACAGACACGATGTCCTCTCGCAGCTCACATAATGTCAAACCCCCCATTTGCTTTTTAAGATGACTATTTTATTTGGAATTGTGTTGAGATAAACACTTGTAGGACTTAGGGATATACATTAAACAAAGTATACTAAGAATATAGGGGGCGGAGTACATAAATTACCGCGATGGGGGATCCCCTAGGTTAATGCATCGTCGATCTTACCCCAACATCAACTAAACCAACTGTAGCTGTTCAGGGGAGTCTCGTTTCCAGGGGTCTTTACTCTTATGCATTGCTATGAGGTAGTTAAGCAATTTATGTATGAATACCAAGTTATTTGTAACTACAACGTACAAAAATGTTGAGTAAACGCTATCAACGAAGCGACAACACAGATTTCAACACCTGCTTCAACTTTAAAGGCGAGTCTTCTTCCCACTCCGGACTCCTCCAAGCCACAAAGTAGTCCGGCCGCACAAGCACACAGCCAGACTCCTCAACGCCCCTAATGCCCGCCCAGTCGAGATATACGTCCTTGTAATCTAGTCCGTACCCGATAGAATAAGCCTTAATCGGTACCCCCCCGAGCTCGGAAGATAGCTGCTCTGCCGCCTTCTTCCAGTGCTGGCCGCCAATGCCCGTGAACAGTGTGAACTGCCCCTTTCCGGCTAGGTCAATGGTAGAGATGTACTTGGACGGCGTGTGATTTCCCAGCCACACGTGCGGTAGACGCGCGCCGGGATACGTGGTGGGATGGTAGTGCTGTAGCGGATTTCTGGTGAAAGCTGGCGTTGGGCCTTGATCCGCTTGGTACACTGCCGACGAGACATAGCGCTGGTTCATCTCGACGCCGAGACCGTGTTCCTCTTTGTCATTTTCCCGGAATGCTTTGGCTAGCTTTTCTCGGCGAGTACTTCCCTCTGGTGAGTCGGCATAGATCTCATCATGAGCCTTCATGCGAGCTTCTACTGTCGGCTCTATGTTGCCGAGGGCTTCCCAGATATTCCTGTGGTTTCTTAGAGTATCATTTGCCCTATTGATATGTTGTGAGTATGTCTAGTCTTCTCTAGTCCCGGTCGCAATCCTGATGTATGGTTAACTTACTGAGTAACTACATCCAGTCCTACTGGTTGACGCTCTATGCTGTAACTCTCCAATAGCTCTCGTCCTGCTAGCCCTACACGAAAATCTTGTCAATACAGGTCTTGCAAGTAGAGCTTTCTTTTCGCACATACCTTTATCCACGTAGTTGACCTTCCATGCGAGGTTATGTGCGTCCTGGATGCAAGTATTTGACCCAAGGCCGTGATTCGGTGGATGCCGGTGTACCGCGTCACCTAGGCAGAACCTATTCAGTTTCGTAGCTATGTCAGCGAAGCCACTATAGGGGGGGAGGGTGTGAAAAGTTGAAGTTATACTGACACGTTGCCCTTTGAGTAGTACTCCGCGGCGATCTCGTTAATAGCCCAGCTAGACACGCCCAATATTTTGACTTCAACTGAATCGTCCCCGATCATCTCGCGAACACGTTTCATGTATTCTTCATTCGACCTTACCTCCCTCGGCGCGTTGGGGGTGGGGAATATAATGCATAACCATTCGTACCACGGCTTAACCATCCTCATGCACCCAATCCAACTCCATTCAGGGGTCTCAAGGTTGGGCTGTACGATCCAGTGAAGGTTACCCTTGCGATGCTCCATGAGATGCGACATATCCGCCTCGATTAGCACGTTCACTGCGAATCCTTGGCCTGGACGACGTATTAGGGGGATTTCGGCCTGCTGCACGATCTTGCTTCGCGCCCCGTCGGCGCCAAAGAGGTACTTGGAGCGAACTTGAAACGTAGTCTTGGAGAGCTTATCCAACAATGTTGTAGTTACTCCTTTTTCGTCCTGCTCGAATGATACGAACTCGGTGTCCCACCGACAATTGAAGCCGTTAAGCGTCGCGTATCGCATCAACACCGGCTCCAGTAAAGTCTGAGGTAGATCCAACATCTTTGACGGGCTCGCAAGCTCATATTCCCCCTTGATCACAAAACTTGTTAGAATGCTACTGCAGAATGACAGAGGAAATGTGCAATCGGCCAGACCCTACCTTTCGCTTCGGGTCATTTCCCCAAGAATATATACGACCATATTCCTGGCCGGCCATGGTATTGGACCAACGAGTGTGTAGCATGGAATCATTCTGTGTTCCTGCCTTATAGCACTCTTTATCGAGTCCAATATCCCGGAGACAGTCTGTATTTTCATTAGCTGTAATTTCAACCTTCTCGGGATCTACATCATACCCAATGCAGGCATATTGGTGATATGAGCCCTCGGCGTATCAGCATTACTCGGATCTTGGCTTACGATGAGACCTTTCATCCCTAAGAGAAAATTAGTATTAGATACTAATAATTCTTGTTACAAGGACATCATGAAAATACGCAAAGTCCCAATTTTTGCTTGCCCTTACCATACGAAGCCATGAAGGCTGCCAAGGCGCCGCCCGCAGGTCCGGTTCCTATGATGAGATAGTCTACGTGTAGTAAGAAGGATGGGGGGCCATCAGACGTCCCGTTTAATTCGACCATGGTTAATGAGTTTGCGTGTTAGTGATGCTGTGCGTGTATAGGTATGTGTAACGAAATAAGAGAATGAAGTGAGCTCAATAACCTAGATATACATTAATATAAGTTATCAAGCAACTCTAGAGCATTTAAGAGGCCTTTAAACTTCTCTATACCCCTATTCTTTATTTCTATTAACTAAGCGCTATGTAATGTCCCTCGGGGATGTCATAAGCTAAGCTACTCCATCTCGGCTTTTACCTGGCCCGCAAACGAGCCGATCGGGTATTCCGCTAGAGGAGAAGTAGCCCACCAGCGGATACTTTACACCTTTGACAACGCAACTAATCCAACCAAACTCTCGGGTCGGACCCACCCCGGGGTTCTAAACCCCTACCGGCAGTATAGGTAAGCTTCCGGTAAGCATCAAATAAGACTAGGTGCATGTATTTCCCAGGGGTATTACGCTGCCAGGACCACTTAAACGTCTTCTATTTGTCATTTGTTTAGAATCAATGCACCGCCTCACAGTAGACAGTTGTCGCATACCTTGGTCACAAGACTATAAGATAATTTGGTAATGGCTTATTTATCATTACTTGATATAAGTACTAAGCCAACAAAAGCCTACTTTCGATGCATGAAGTGCTACGAACATGGTAGCTAGTAAAGTCATTCTGAAGCACGATTTGAAGTATTTATTTCTTGTTTATCTGGATACTCGTAAATAATTCTGGACTAGAACTGAACATTGACTTTACGAGTGTTATTACAAGCGAGTACCGACCGTGGGATAGGTTATGTGCAACCCCATACATTTTGTGGCCTGGAAGACTATAATTACCTTATCTTACTGGAACTATTTTAAAGAAAAAGGGAAAAATAAAATGCTTACTGTTGTCTTTGCCACGTGGGAACCTAGTATTGTAAAATATATATGATGGAACTTGTTAGCGAGGTTTTATAATGCTAATTATCTATTTCTTACATATCAACACCTGCTTACAAATTGCTGACACCATAGATCTACTCCTAAACATCTCCCAACCACTCGTTAAACCTCTCCTCCGTATCAGCAAGAACATCAAATCCCAGCAAGCTCTGTTGATACTCAGCATCCCCCCAATTAAACGAGCATGCCCCCTTCCACTTCCCGCCAGACAGCCCGGCCAACTCCTTGTCGCGCGCCTCTTGCTCTGGGCCGTCAGCCAAGTGGTAGTAATGGCGGGTATGCACGGCGCCAGCCACGTTGACTTCTGTCCGCTTCTTGCGTAGACCTTCATACAGGCGGAGAAGACTGGCTAGTCTATCGTTTTTCTCTACTTGGTTCGGTGGGATACCTGCGCTTTGGAACTTCTCCAGAAGTAAGCCGAGGATGGCGCCGTCCTCGACGGCCATGGCAGCGCCTTGGCCCTGATATGGCAGCGTTGGATGCGAGGCGTCTCCTAATAGAGCGATTGCACCCTATTTAAAGTTAGAAGAATTAGAAATGCATATCCGTTTTAGAGCCCGAGGCTTTATTGTACTCGCATACCTTGGTCCATTGGTCGAGCTCCTTGAAGTGAAGGAGCTTCCATTTCAATGCAGTCTTCAGACATGAAATGATTTCGTTGAGGCTGGATAAAGCTTAGCTCTTATTCCCAGGATGAAGGGGTGAGGAGAAGAGACATACATCGGATCCCATCCTTCGAAGTTGGCTGCCATTTCCTCCAGACTTCCTTGTGAGGTACGCACGCCGCTGGGTAGATCATCCGCGGCTCTGTAAGTAATCAGTAACTATGCCATTCAAACTAAGGCTTCCTAAGGAGGATTTACATCAAGACGAGATTGTATTCTGTATGGTTCCTTAGAGGATAGAAAACGGCGTGTCTTCCCGGTCCGAGCCATACTTGTATATTTGACTGCTCTAGCAACTTATCCATTCGTTCATTCTTAAGCCCTCTCAGCTGTTCGCGCGTAAAAGTGCCACGATACGCAAGATCCCCCGTTTCTGTTGGCGGAAAGGGCCGCCCTAAGACGATCTCTCGGGTTAATGACCACAGCCCTATCCAATGAGTTTAGCTGTCATAATATGGATAGGGTTCTTGGAGAATAGGTTCGGCATACCATCCGCGCCGATTACTACATCTGCGCTTATCCGTCTTCCATCCTTTAGTAACAAGGTCTGGGCGCCGTCGGAAGCAAGATTGACGCCAGTGACGTCTGCGCTCGTCAACACAACTGCTCCAACAGCTCGGGCCTCCTTGAGCAATACGTTCTGATAGTCCCCTCTATGTATTGCTCTTTTGGTCGGATCCAATTACCCAGTCAGCGTTCTCTTTTCTTAATAAGCTGATAGTTGGGGGTTGCATGTCTCATATCTGCTCTTACATCCATTGTGCCCCGTATTCCGTCTCCATCCTATCCTTGAGCGGCTTCTCAACAAGGATCTGGCCATTCTCATATCTCCTTAGCGTGAAATCCTGCACCTGGTATCCGCCAGCTTGCTTGAATTTCTCGAGAAGCCCGAAGCGAGTCAGCACCCGGCAGGCGTTCGGCGGAATGTGGATCCCGGCACCGATGGTGAGGATTTCCGGCGTGCGCTCAAGAACGGTGACTTGGAGGGGCGGGTTTGCTCGACGACATGCTATCGCGCAAGCTAGACCGCCTATTCCTGCACCGACGATGGCGACATGGAGGCCATTGGTATTAGGAGAATTCTGAGTAACGAATTAGTTTATTGATAATTGTGGTATAATGGAGGTATACACTTGCGCTTGTTTCTGATCTTTCTGTCGCCATTTGAGTTGGTTTTTTAGATTGCTTACTATTGTCAATGGTTGAAGCTAGATTAATGATATTCAGCTCTTTATAAATGAGTATTTGATCGTAGTTCCAACTTGAGCGCCTTTTTAAGAGCGCTCTCTTGCAATGCTGCTTATACGGTTATTTTTCCTGGCCCTCTCCGCTCGTGGCTCTACAATTCCATTTCGATGGGGTCTTCTACCCCCACTTCGGGTAATCCATCTCATCTCATAATAGGATTTCTTACCGGTTTAGTACGAGGTATAAGCAGATTTTGAGGCATTGCTGTCGATTCCGAATGTAAGTAAGTTGGATCTTAGGACTCCTTGCGCACGAAGGTCTCGATGCCTTGCTAAAGTATCATGAGATATGTGTACTCAAAGTTAGTAAGCTACATCTAATTGGTTACACGTTAGTGACTTGGATTGCAATCTCAGAGAAAATTGCCAAGCTAGGAATTTGCTCAAAGGCTAGTATTTCAACTTCAGCCTTAGACATATCCTACGAACATTAGTAGTAGATGTCACTATGCCATTGGGCGCGCATAAGACCTATGTAGTTCTACGTCATCCTTAGCCAGGAACATTGCTCCCCTTAATGAATGTTTTATGCAAGTTTATTAATGGAGTACTTTAGAGACTATAGCTAAAATAAGGATATGCCCGAGATTTGTTCTGATAGTTCACCTTATATTCAAAGAGGAGCTACGGATCGTAGACAACTTAGAGTTGTACTATGGCCTTAGGTAATCGAGAAGCTTTCTTTTCTTATGCTCCTAAGAATATGGATAAAAATAACATTAACTCTATCGTTGGCCTGGTTGGACAAGTTTAACTGAAAAGATAAAAGAAATTATTAAAATATAAATAACTAGTTTAATGCATCTTTAAGAAGACGGAAGTCGGAGATGACTGGTGGATACCGGCTTGGATGATGCCGGACATAGGGCGCGAACCGGAGTCTTCGCAATATCCGTTCCCACCCGATCTCCGGACTTAAATGTGGAGTGACGCCCTATATCTCCAATATATCTCCGACACCACAATAGATTTGCATGGGCCAGCATAAGACAAGCGCAAAACAGGAACACCTGTAAAACGGACGATGTATCGCGTGGAAACTAAATAGTCATGCTTATAAAGTCAGCTGGGAAGGATTACGCAGCTATGAATATATGCATATGTACATACCTTAGGTACATATAATCCTAATATTGCGTATTAGACTGGTCTATTTAGTGCTATTCAGATCTCGAACCGCAGGTGTAACTTTACCACCGGTTGGCGTTTCGCGCTTAGACGTTATGCCGAAGCAAGATTATATAATGTAAAGTTGAATGTGCCAATAAAATGGATCTCGCATTTGCCGTGATACCTCGAATGGGAAGTTGGGGCAATTAAACCCTGCTCTTGATGATGCTTAGCCGCGGATATTATTACCTGCTTTGTAACCATCAGCTTGTTTTTTTATGCTCGGATCGAGTTCGGATCTTTACTAGCTGTTGTGCAAGCTGATGTGTTAGGTAGTGTATCAAAGCTGAATCACTATTGCAACGACGAAACTGTCGGGGATCGTGAAGTTGAATATGGATAACTAGCAGAAGAAGCGAACTCGGACACGGACGCGTGCACGGGCAGTATGTATGCGCAGACGACCGACCCTCCGTGTAAACCACAAATTGGCAATATTCAGAGCAAAGTATTTGCTTGCCGATTTTTGCGCATGATTCTTCAACTAACAACTACCCACCAATCAATCACATTGGCACCCAACGGGTAATAATGGAATAATGGGAACATTGGGGTTCGCTTCATCGGTTTCGTACCCATCTTACCTACTACGCTTTGCTGGGATACCCTAAATAGCTAGGATCGCTAGGAGCTATGAGGTATGTATTAGAAGATTTCTAGAGCCCCAACCTTGCACAAAACCAGTTTCGGCTGGTCGGACGGTCGACCGATAAATGCATAGTCCTTACCGATATCCTCCCCTTTAACACTTGGCGTTGTCACCAGCTAGAACCAATCGAATGTTTTACTGTTAGAAGCGTGACATCGCCTTTACAGTAATTAGTAAACCCGACCACGGCCGAGACTCGGTGCAATAAACCTACATTCTCGTCCCTTCTTCCCGTCTCTTCTATTTATGTAGTGTTTTATCCCACTGATGAGATGATCAAGAGATCCCGCGAGAACTCTAAGCGGTTATCATCTAGCGCTAAACGCGATATCAAGCCAAGTCATATATCTTTGAATAGAGAATCGTGAATTAGCATCTCGGCATTAGACGCGCAACGACAAGCCAACTTCGTCACAGCGCAGATCAGTCTTGTTAGGGTTCCATCTTCCCCTCAGGGTCCAAGTACTCCAAGAAACCTAAGAGAAGCCAAGAACAAGTAAGCATTTTCCCACTTAGCTAGTTTGACAGCTTTGAGACTTATAGTCAAGGGCTGTCCACTCGCAGATTCTTAGCGTAGCCTATCTTTCTATGAATACCAATTATAAAAAGACAAGACATTAACGTCAAAGCTAGTAAACAGCGATGGTGTCCAGCGCAGCATCAACTGCCTCTGCCACGCATACGGATGGAGGACTACTTGATGACGAGTCTGGAGAGGCGCAGCTGCAACTGCAGCGCAAGATAAGTCAGGCGGTAGACGAAGGACATGACGCAGATATCCCGTCAAGCCAGGGTTTTATATTCGATGAGCAGGAGGAGCTTAAACGACAGCGATCGAAAGCCGAGCGGAGGCGAAACTCATTCGCTAGTAAGAAGAGTCGGGCGGACCGCGATGTCGAGAAGGCGCAAGGGCCCGGCGAAGCAGCGCTGTCGAGTAGCAACGATGGCGAGGATAGCGATGGTGATCCTAACATTGTCTGGTGGTCTGGGCCCGACGACGTAGAGAATCCTTATAATTGGCCGACGTGGAGGAAGGTTCTCAACTGCGGACTAATCAGTGCCATGACTTTTGTTTCCCCTTTAGCTTCATGTAAGTCTTTTCTACATGTTGCATTCGTTTGTGTGCAAATATTGGGATAAGCATTAACCGCCGTATAGCCATATTCGCACCCGGTGTTCCTCAGGTGGTAGCCGAATTTCACTCGACATCCTTAGAAATCGCCTCATTCGTAGTTTCGGTGTACGTGTTGGGCTTCGCAGCGGGCCCTATGTTATTTGCGCCATTGTCTGAGATATATGGCCGAGTTACCCTTTTCCATATCGGAAACCTAGGATTCGTCGCCTTCCAGGTCGGATGCGCGCTTTCTCCGACGTTAAACGCCCTCATCGTCTTCCGATTTTTTGCTGGTGTCTTCGGTTCCGTAGCGATTACGAATGGCGGCGGCACCATTGCTGATATGGTTACGCAAGAGAGACGAGGGGCTGCAATGGCTGTTTTCAGTATCGGTCCGCTTCTAGGCCCTATCGTCGGACCCGTTGCTGGAGGTTTCCTATCTGATGCTGAGGGTTGGAGGTGGTCGTTCTGGCTTCTGGCCATTGTTGGTGGGTTTCTTTCTATTCTCATGGTCTTCTCTCTTAAGGAGAGTTACGCCCCCGTAATCCTTCAGAAGAAGGTGGCCAAGTTGCGTAAGGAGACAGGAAACGATTTACTTCGATCGAAACTCGATGCCGGTTTGTCGCCTAGGGACTACTTTAAGCGAGGTATCATTCGCCCCTTCAAGATGTTGTTCCTTTCGCCAGTTATCGCCATCACGTCGCTTTATATGGCCGTCACATACGGCTATCTCTATCTAATGTTCACGACTATGACCGAGGTGTTCCAGGGATACTACGGCTTCTCAACAAGCACTGTTGGATTGGCGTTTATTGGACTTGGCGTGGGAAGTATGATTGGTATCTTGCTTTTCAGCGCTACATCGGATAAATATATCAGGAAGAAAGCTGCTGAAGCCGATGCGATAGCCCAAGCTACTGGCGCACCTAAAGCTGGCATGAAGCCAGAATATCGGTTGCCGCTGCTCCCTGTAGGAGCCCTTCTAATTCCGGCAGGTCTATTTATCTACGGGTGGACAGCCCAATATAAGGTCCATTGGATTGTCCCTATTATCGGAACAGCTATTGTCGGTATCGGAAACTTGCTCGTCTTTATGGTTATTCAATTATACCTAGTCGATGCCTTCACCATTTATGCCGCCTCTGCCATAGCATGCAACACGATTGTTCGATCTTTGGCTGGTGCCTTACTCCCACTGGCTGGACTGCCGATGTACGAAAAGTTGGGTATCGGCTGGGGTAACAGCACACTAGGATTTATCGCCGTCGCACTGTTCCCCGTGTCATTAGGCATAATCAAATATGGGGAGCGTCTCAGGAAAAGATTCGTTATAAAAAATCTCTAGTGGAGACATTAACTCTGCGGACTTTCTTTCAAAACCTCTACTCACAGGAATATTAGGTTGCATTAGGGAGGGTTTAGACACGAGGAAAAGGATACCATCTATCATATTAATACGTATACCAAGGTCATCACAGCTACACAATAGAAATTTTATCATCTAAACATACTATATAATACATAAAATCCTTAGTGTAATTAATTAGATTCGCGGCCGCCACCACACCAGACTCAAGATATATTAGATACTCCTACATAGGTAAATAACCATACAGACAACATTAAGAAAATAATCAATATTCTCCATCTATTTTTAAGCATTATTGAAGATTCAGCGTGGCTTAGAATTTAACGACGGATCCTGTTTACCCATCTGGATTGACTCTGACCGTCTATTGATTAGGTAGTTATTAAACGGAGTTTAGGGACTTAAGAGATCCGAGTCTCGATGAGACTATACATGTACATAAGCCCTAGTATGAATTGTCGGTTTAATTGTCAGAAGTAATATCAGGGGCTAATCACATCGTAAACTAGCAATTGATCATACATATACGAAAGGTGCCCCGACAAGTGTCGAGGCTTAACAAGCATTGTATATATCTGTGGTTGGGAAAGCCGCCCCTTTCCCCTTTAAACAGTAATTTATAGTATCTAAACAGAGAATGGGACGTTGCCGAACACTTATTCCTGTATTATGTACGACGTCTTAAACTCTGCCCCTGAATCCGACCGTAGTGCGTATCATCTCATATAAGCGCATCATCGCCAGTGATGCTTAAAAATCCCGAGAGATTTTAGTGCCCGTTGCTTATTCAATGCTCAAAACAGCATAACGGTTATTCAACTACAAATAGAAGCAGAAAATAGCATACATAGCTGTATTTAACACTGAAATGTTTATCCAATATCTAATAGGGGGCTTACTTTACCACGTGAGATTCGTTTCTGGTATCTTAGATGGGCATTCCTCCCGGGTGTAAATTTTAGGAATCCGCATACCGGTATTCGGTATTTCTGATTATCATCGACTCACCACAAGACTTGCTAAACCCGTTGCACTTGCGTCGTTGTGACAATATTATCTAAAAAGACATACGGCACAGCCATCCCAGAAAACGAGGTATGGGGTTAGGACACGCCGTTC